CCTAGAACTATGAGTCCTGGGTTTGATCCAGCTCAAAGCCTCTGGGTCTGGAGGCCATTCAAGATCTCTGCAGCTCAGATACTAGAGATGCTGCCAGGGAGTGGGTTAGGATAGCCGAAGAGGAGGGGCATTCCCCAAGAGATCCAGAAGTCAAGCTCTGCCCCACTGCAGGCCTTTCTCCAACAGGAAACATTCTGCACAGTGGTGAGCTGCCAGGCAGGAACTTACAAACACCTGTGCTTGCAGTCAGAGAGCTGCTCACTGCTAACATCACTTGAGGTTGTTCTTTGTTTCAGAAACAGCTCTTTTGAAAAGATCTGGAAGAACCAGCTTAAACCAGCCAAAGATAACAGCTTCTCTTCTAGGTGATCCAAGTGACCTAGGGGAAACTTTGCTCACTCTGATTCATTATAATGCTAAGTTCTCTGCCCTAAATGAAATGCATCTGCCATTTGTTTGATTTGCTTTGGTTTGGTACTTAGAATAGAATCCAGGGGTGCTTTACCACTGAGCTACATCCCCAGACCTTTTGTTTTTGTAGTAGAGATTTCTCAGAACAAAGGAAAGGCTATCAGTATCACTGTGAGCCTTCCACAACTCAGTTGTAACATTTTTTCTACTTTGTAGTATAGAAATAGAATGCCCAAACAGGAATGTGTATTACCTCATATGAGAGACCAAGAACTAGTATGTAATAGGAAATTAATAAGAATGTCTGTGGCTATGACTCCCTACACCAAATGCTCAGCCTTTACATAAGAATCCACTGAGGCTGTATCTACACAAATGAACACTGCTTCCTGCTGATAATCCTGGTGTCCCCTGTCTTTGTGTGAGAATCCCATGCACCATTTTATTTTGAGGCAGGATATCACTAAGTTGCTGAGCTCCTTGCTCACTTGCTGCAGCTGACTTCCAACTTATGATCCTCCTGCCTTAGCCTCCAGAAGAACTAGGATTACAAGTATGCACCATCATGTGACCATCTGCCATTTGGAAACATGCCATATATGAAAAATTGTGACCTTGAACTGCACATGGGAAGGAATGTGCCCACCTCTGTGGTGTTGGAGTCCAGCTCCAACAGGGGGTCTCAGGAGATGAACAGATGGTGAGGAGTTGGTGAAAAGTGGGTAGAGAAACAACACAGACACAAAAGTGAAGGTGCTGAAATTCAATCTTTACTTGTGAAGTTAATCATATATACTTTTCATTTTGGCAAGCTCACAGTACTTTGTGGTTACAAAACAGGAATCATTATTCAAAGAAACAAAAGATTACATAGCTACAATTAGATAAGAATAATGTATCTTGGCTTATGCATAAGCAAGCATTTTCACTTTCAGTTCACATTTTGCTTTGAGCTGTTTCTGCTTAATTAACTTTTAATAATAGTTAGAAATGTCCCAGACTATTGGCCTATACCTTGACTATTCTTTCTTGACTTACTGACTAGAATCAGCACCATGGTTATGGAAAGTGGTTAACTTGAAAAGAGAGGCTACTAATTTCAATCAAACAAGAATAAGAGCACAAACCATTGTGCACAGGAATAAGAACAAGTTGCCCAGTACTAAGCACTAATCTGTCTTCTTAACATTAATTCTTCTTCTCTAGATTTTAATTTAATTTCTCAAAAACTTCCTTGACTGTTTTTCCTACAGGGGGTTTTTCATTAAACATT